GAAGGCGGGTGGGGCCACGAGGTGGAGGAGGGTGAACAACGTTGTATCACCATGCGATGCCTGTGATGGGATCCAGTTTGAAGTTTGAACCTCTAGTTGGACTGTGAACCACGCAATCTGAGTCCAAACTGAGTCGTCTGAGTCCAAGATTGGAAGCCAGGCCTCTTGGATCTGACTTAATCCAGAGCAGTCTCCACCTGACTTGAGTGTGCCTGGGTCAACATATATATATAACAATACAATTTTCTATATATATATATAGGTACTCTGTATATATAATTTACAATATACAATATATAGTATAGTAAAATACAACAGAAAAATATATAATATATATATATAGTATAATATACTATGGTTTTTACATACCCAGAACCTATTAGACCCCTCTTTTGATAGAAGAAGACCATATATTTTGGATGGTTCATTATGTTGGTGGTCCAACATAGAGGTCGTTCAGGTTGTAAACATACAGATGTATATATACGCGTTTGCCCAGGGTGTCCCTTACATGAAAAACCGGGTCACATCAAACCGTCCATCGGACTGGAGTGCTGGGAATCTCGACCATCTCGGCTCTGAATCCTTGGACAGCAAAAAATGAATATCCGCCAGACAATTACACTGAATCGGTTCCTTGAAGATCCCTTTTTGGGGTGGTGTTGTGCTGCCATGTTTCGGCAGACGACTGCCATTTGGCATTCGAGTCAGAAGCAGCTTTAGGGTGGTGTGTAGAACAGCAATTGAGATCAATTAAGGGTATTCTTCCTGCACTGCAACATTTTGCAAAACACAATGGCTCGAACAAACACAATGGCTCGAACAAGAGTTTTCCAGTGTTCCAATAGTTGGCTTGCAGAACCAGTGTCTGGCAGCAATGTACCGCCTTGGCATTCCCCGGTCCACAAAATCCATCGATTGGGTGCGGCCTGGTGCGAAATCTCCATCAAGATTGGTGCTTCTGGTTGGAAGGCCAACTGGAGAAAATCCCAAGATCATTGATGTGGTGCAAGGATTTCGTAGGGTGTGCGGCTGGATCAGGTACCTGGATCCATTCTCCAAAACTCTGTCGGTGGGGCGATCCACCAGTCATTCAGCCACCCTGATTCCTCACCTGTTGTCGCACCAGTCATTCAATCTCCGATTCTTTTGGGCTCAATTTGGCCACCCACTCAGCTACCACCGAACAACACCAGCTCGCAGGTTTTCGGCCTGGAAATGAGTTCAGGACTGTTCGTGGGGTTTTGAAAGATGCCCTGCATAAGGATAAGACAGCACAAAATGAATTGTGAATCCATGGACAATGTGGCTCAAATAGAGTCAAAGGGGTGATCTCTTGTTTTTGGTTTGCAGTTTCAGTATGTTTTAGTTATGTACAAACACACCTATTTATCGTTGGTAGATGTTGGAAGGCACAAACCTTAGACCGTCTCAGATGCTGGGTTTGGTCTTTGTAAGATGTTTTGATGCCGAGGATCTAAGATCGATGGCACTTCCCAGAGAAGTGGTAACTTGGATTTTTGTCGATGCATGAACACACGAGACAAAATCCATCTCGGAGGAATGTAGCTCCCACGGGTTTCCAAGGGACAATCCAGATGGTGTGAGTTTTCCAAGGGTTTCTGCTAATAAGAACTGGCTGTAGATCGACCGACACCCATCTTGCAGGAGAGTTTGGGGGTGAAGATCAACTTTATCTACAAGAAACGCCCTTTTGTTTGATGTTCATAAAGTGTTTCTTTGCCCAAACCCACACACCGAGACTGCTCAGGAGCCGGAAAACACTCATCACGATGGGTCCTTGCTTGCTTGTTCAGATTAAGTAGGTTCTAGTGGTCACTTGGACAGCTTGACTCTTTGTGGCAATGCGTACACGGGATTCGGTGCCTTTTGAACCCAACGAGGCACGCGCACTCCGCGCGCGCACGTTCCGCTGTGCGCGAGCGCACGGACTCTTCAATGTGTGGAGTGACGTGGAGTCAACGTGTCAACGGTTTTCAGCAAAAACGGTGCCAGTCCTTGTCTTGATCCTCTGGAATAGAGGTGAGAGAGTATAAAATCCCCCCACGCAAGAAATTAGTATTTGCATGTCCGTTTTTCTGGAAGCATGCTCAATCCCCTGTAAAACGATAAGGAAGAAAAAACACATGCTAACCCCCGATGACTCTTGTTGAAAACCCTTGACATGCGAGAGGTGGTGTGAAGAAGACACACACACAGAAAACCTACTACTGTTCCAAATTGTCAGGGTCAATGCATGACTGCTCTTGGTGGGTATATGCTTGGACAGAGGTGGGAGGGGTTGGACCGCTGTAGCCTTGCGCTACAGCATTGTTGTGCCACATGGTTTTCCAACTTGCACCAGGCATGAACACGATAACAAAACGATAGCAAAAACGATAACACAGCGAGCCTAAAACACCGTTCCGTAGGCAGGCCACCACATAGGCCTAGTTGGAATGAAGTGTGCCTAATGTTTTCATATGTGCAAGGTTCCACACACCACATGCATGTAGTGCACACACACACAACATTATACGGTATAGATTATACTACATTTGTTGCGGTTAGTCAAAGTGCTGCAAACCGATAATGAAGAAAAAAGATAACGTCAAAAGTGGTATAGGGAAAGATAGATAGCGGTTTTTTACACAACCTCAGGTGTTGTTTCTTTTTCTCAGGGTGAGCTCTTAATTGCTGGACGAGCTTAGAGTTGGGTACTGTAGTGACTAAGTCTTGAGTCCTACTGTTGGATCGATTTAGAGAACCTTTACAAGTTATAAGATTTCTACTGTTAGGTCACCAGGACGGCCACCTTCTCACACTAGACGAGCATCCCAACACAGCTGATGTTCAGTTCCCACCGCCGAGAACTTCAGCAGTTTCTTCGACAGGAGTTTCGTCGGCCGAGGACTCCGCAGGTGTGAGGTTGGCCAGTACTCCCTTGAATGTTAGAGCGAGCAAGGATGTTTGAGTCCGGGTGAGAAATGGGTTTGGCTCGAAACAACAAACACCCAAGCAGAGGAAATATATGTAAATGGACAGAAGAAACCCACATCTGGACTGCAGACCGTCCAAGGCAGTTTCAAGCGTCTCACGACACTTTTCAAGCACTTCGCTGCTTCATTATTCCCGTTGAAATCGGCGGGGTATTCCAGATAGATGGCCGATCACAGGTGGCACAGGTTTCTTGGCCTTGGGATGAAAGCTGGAAGCAGGGTGTGGCTGTCGGACGTCTTACTCAAACGTTATGCGAGCACAAAAGGCCTTGGGCGGCAGGGACTGAGCCTCACTGGTATCCTGTTCACAACTTGCGCTTAGGTCATTTGCAATATTTTGGAATGGAGATGATATGCTTATTGGCGGATTTTTTGCAGTCTATGTAGTCTGTGTAGTTAGCTGGATGCCAAACTCTCCAAGTCCCAGGTCTAGACGTTTCTGCTGTATTTCTGCTGTGCAGATTCTCAGGTTTTTGGTGGATCACAGGCGTTCGCATCCAAGCAGATTCGGGGGATGATTTGATGATCTCTCTGGGTCTGACTCCCGTTCCCATCGAACATGAAGGGCTGAAGCTACAGATTTTGGCGGACCCACTCCGCCGACGCCGACGTCTGAAGAGATGGGATTTCAATTAGATTCTAATTGAATTCTGTTTAAATATTGTTTCTAATAGCTTCTTGTTACTACTAGCGTGGCACCTGTTACTACTAGCTTCTTGTTACTACTAGTAAGGCACTTGTTACTAGTAGCTTCCGAGGTTTTGGTGCGATCTGAAAAAAACAATCTTCTCTCAAAGCTAGGGAGATTGCGATCTCCGTCCACTCTTCCAGGAAGTGACGAGGACAGGTGCGATCTCCCTGGTCTTTTGGCACTCTTCAAACAGTTTCCAGCCAGGAAAGAGTTCATCAAGACATACAGATGCAGTCATGAATTCATCATGTTAGGACCCAGTCTAATCATCACATGGACATGTCTTGAGAAATGACACAGATCAAACCTGACCAAATTTGTTCATGTTGCTTTAGCGGACGCAAAAGGACTGTAGCGCAAATTGAATGTGATCCTGAACCATGGCAGCTCTTTACAAGGCATGATCGGATCCTTTTGCCCCAGCGTGCCCCAAAGCTTGGCCTAGCACATCTCCAAGCTTGGAGCCTCAAATCTACAAGTGAACCATCTCAGCAAACACGTGGGCCCACCAAGACCACATCACAGCACCGTGCCGAGAAACATGTCCAGCTGTGGCATTGATCCAGAGGAGGGGTTGCATGTTGGGTGGCCAGTGTCGTCCAGTGGGATAATAAGAGGGAAGACTCATTTCAACATGAGACCCTTTGCCCCAAATTGGAACAGATCAGGGATTGTTCATCCCCACGACCAATTGCTTGACCAAGATTGAAGCTGGAGTTGAAAGGGATCTTTCAACTAGACTTGCTTTCGGGCGGTTGGTCGTGCACTTTTCGGGTAGTTCACATGTGCCGACCGACACAAGATCATGTGGTGATTTCCTCTCGGAGAACCCTTTTTGAAGGCCACCATGCCAAAATGCTTCGACGTGTACATTTGGGAAAAACCGGTTTCCTTGGTTGTCATGAACGACGGAAATTTTGGCGAGTTCTTACTGTAATATGTTCTAGTCAATTCTAAATGGTCAATGGCGACTTAGAGCAGTTGAGGTCTCAACATTTTAGAGAATTGATGTTCAACTACCTGGGCCATCCGTTGAGTTTGGAGTTCCTGGAGTTGCTAGATGAATGCCCGGAACCGCGGGGAAGACTCAGATCTCGGCACCACCATTGGGCCGTCCCCTGAGTTTAGAAATGTTTAGACATAGCCACCGACAGACGAATGAGCTGAGTGCTGGGGCCCCTGGATTGACTGCTGCGACAGTTGCCCCCAATCCCTTCGTTTCCTTCGCCCAAGAGGACCACACCCGGACAGCATCGCCTGACAGCGACGACTCCTTCGGGACCGTTTGACTCCGTCCTTCGGAGTGCCAGGACCTGCGGGTGCAGGAGGGCCAATATCCCAGCGATGAAACGCCACTGGAGACCGCATGGACCTTCTGGTGCCGAAAGGGGTCGTCTTCGAGTCTAACGACATCGGTCCGAAGGGGGTCGGATGGCTTGGTTCCAGAAAGTCTTCAGGAAACCGACGTGGTCGTTCTTGACCAAGTTTGGAGATTTACAGGATGATTTTGAGCATGTCTGGCGCTTTGTTCAGTTCATTGGTTGGAGAGGTTCAATGGGATTCAGCCACTGAATCCGGACTCATCTGCACATATCTGCACTGCTGTGCTAAAGCGCGATTCCGCCAACATTGGCGATGGAGTGGGTCTCAGAAAGAAGATGACATCTCTGAACAGTTACTGCAAGATCTGTAAGCAGAGACCAGCAACCCAGGCAGCAGGTTTGACAGCTTTGGAGCGAACGCAGGTTAGCCAGCTGCATGGAGCCCTGTAGTCCTTCCATGTCCGGCGTCTGTGTTTGACTCCTCTTCGTGGGAGAGATCCACTCCTGTCTTCCAGTGACTGGAGGTACGACAAGAAGACCAGCGATCGCAAGGAAAGCGAGCAGCCACTGGGCAGCATGAAAATGGGCACCACATCTAATGGGTTTTCAACTTTTCTCTTGATACTTGATGGGTCTTGATGGACGATCAAATAGCGCAGCTAATTGGATCTATATAGATGGGTTTTCATCAGGCTTTTTCAGCACTACACGGACGGCAAGATCAGCAAACACCCAGTTGTAGGGAGAAGATAGACCATCATCCTCCGTGGATCTCTGTGGTCCGTTGCTCCAGCACAGAGAGTTTGAGCTTATCGGCACTCATTTTCCTGGAAAACTACATAGCTGCACCTGCTGAAACATCAGAAAGATGAACTTGATCTTCAAAAGGATATTTTAGTATGCTTCATCAGTGCATCAGAGTTCTATGCCTACCACCACAACCCTCAAGAATCGTGCCAAGGTACATGGAAGGTCTGAAGCAGTTGGGCAGCTTCAACACCATTGAGGACAGCATCGCTCGATTCTGTGGACATTCCAAAACTCTTCAGAAAATGCAATTTTGAAGTCAACTACCCACCAGATTTTCTTCAGCAAACAACTGGCCGATGATTCTGCAGATATACCAAGCGTAGTTCTTTTGTCTGTCAACAGATCACGGCAACATGAGCATAGCTTAAACCATGACGCATCACTTCAATTATACCGACAGTCCACTGGCTGTTGTTGGGGCACCCGATTCAGAAGACAGACATGTTGCAGATGTTTCTCCGCACCCTCTGAACATGGCTGTAGAGAAACATGTCCGGACAAGATACGTTGAGAAGGTTCACTTAAGATCTTTGAAGACACCTTCGTGTTTCGGATGATCCAAACGAATGCTTCGACATGGAAAACCTAGCTCCCTTTCACCATTTTTCCCGCCTTTCCCCCATCCCTTTAAGCTCCCGCTGAGTGAGTTTTCACACCCATCCGTTGAACCGAACAACTGTTCGGGTGGCCGCGGTGGCTTGGCGAGGGCTTCTATCGGCACTACAGCTACTTGCTGCGGCCCTCAGAGGTTCCAAGGGATCACAATGCCCGGGGCTCCCATCCGAAAATGGAGCGGGTGGAGCGGGCCATCCGGCGGTTTGCTTGGAACGAGGGTCGGAGCACTCCCTGTTTGGGATGGGAGGGTCTGGGACTGGACATGCTCCACATCCGCCGGGGTTTTCGGGTGCCAAAAAGCGTGGTCCGGGTGTCGAGCCGGCTAGACATCGGGTGTCGAGGGGTCTTAAACTGGGCATGTCATTCATTCTGGAAGTACGAAGTGGCCGGACAAGACGTCCTTACAATGAACTATCCATGGCTTCAAAAGCTATTGGTGTGTACTATATATACAGTAACTAGAAACATGACCCACTCTCATCATGGCCAACACACCGCTAGCAAAAGACGGAAATGGTTTAAGCCAATCTCAGCAGGAGTGCATGAAGGAATCATCTTACTTGGCGCCAGAAACAAGGCTGAGCTGCCCACCACACTTCCAGAACAGCAAAAGAACACCAAAACCTTCGGATTCCGATGTTCAGATATTCCCATAGACCTTTTGGTGTCATTGTCGCTCTGGCCGAAGTTGAGAAACAATGCTTGTTTGCCGTAGTGACCTCTCAAAAGGAGAGAAGTGGCACCAAAGAATCTGCTCTTGTTTTGTTCCACTATTGTTATTTGTAGTGGTCCCCAAATAGATAGAAACGATTTCCAACACATTATTAGTGGGGATCTACGTTTCTATCTATTTGGGGGGCCTCTCTCTCTCTCTCTTTCTCTCTCTCTCTCGCTCCCTCCCTCCCTCCCTCCCTCCCTTTTTACGCTCAATTCCAAAACGCTCCGTGCGAAGTTCACTCCCAAACATCTTCAACGCTCGGCGTGCCACAGAAGGCCGGCGGCATAAGCGGCTGCAAAGTTCTTGTCCATCAGGATTTCAAAGTGCAGGCTCATTGGAGGAGGCGGCGGCCACACTCACATCACTGTCACTAGCATAAGGCATACGGCCACAAAACACAGTTGGTTTGCAAGTGTTTGACCTTTAAGCTTTCGTTTCGTTTGTGGAAAAGCGGACACTAGCAGCCGACAAGAACTTAGAAGGTCGAAGCAAACGTTGGCCGAAATCATGAGCTCAAAAAAGTTAGAGTTTGGGACTGGTCCAGTGCTGTGGCGACTGCCAACAGACGCCAGCCACTCCGGAGAGCTCAAAAACATTGCTTTAAGGGACTGCGACGGATTCATCCAAGCCCTGACTTGCTGCAGGAGCCTCCGTGCATCAGCCTGGTCAGTAGGTCTACCGGGCACACGCTGCAAACAACGGTTGTTGAGCATTGTCGTCTCTTTCCAAGCATCTCCTGCACGAACAAGAACAGACCCACACATAACACACGTCCGCTTACTACCATGTTGAAATAGCTTGTGCAAGGCGTGCGCTTCAGGGCGCGCAGCATTTCCTATGGCGATGCAAGTTGAACTTTGCAAAGAAGTAGTTAAGTCAGCTCCAGAAGCTTTGTAAGTGATCGAATCCTGACAGCGTGCACAACTTACAGAAGTCGGACCAAACACAAAGAGATGTGTCCCAAATCAGTTTTCGGAAAAGCTTGCGCTTGTGCCATTAAGGAAGCAACAAGAGCAGCGCGCTCTACATTCAATTTGAGCCAGCGAGGTTCAACTAGTTTAGGCTTGGTGTCCCCTTGGCGAACATTCCCCCGCGCTGGCTCCAAACCAAATTAACGGCCTGAACCACCTCAGAATTAGGTTCCGGCCCATGCAAAGCGTTCAACATTCCAAGGTCAGTCAACCCAGGTTCATGCTCCACCACGGCCCCACCTCCACAACTCGATCGTTCAGTCATTTCATCCCCCAATCTGCGCGCACACTCAGTGGACGCCCCTCGCCGCAAGAGTGGCCAGGAAGTTGAGAAGTACAACTTGACCTTGCACTGGGAACAGCGGACACCGCGTTCGCGCAGCTGCCAACGATGGCCTGCCTCCACATATTTTTGCTTGCTGACCAAACGCTGCAAGAATTTCTGCTTAGTTAGTTCTCGGGGGCCACTACCCTTTGTTGTTGGCTTTACAGCCCAGTGGGGACAGTTCGTTGGCCAATAGGGGCCTGCAAAATGGCAGCAACTTGGTCAATTTGTTTGACAGCTTGTCGGTGGTGATTATCATAGCAACCTGCTGCACCATTCTTAGCACGAGCAATTGTGCGGCCTAAGGTCTCTAGCGGAGCATACTTAGCACGGCTTGTCACCATACCAGCGGCAGACCTCCTTTATCACCATGTGCAAATATGCACAATGGTGCCCTGTATCAGGCAGTTCAAGGCCGCCCTCTTAACTTTGGTCTTGAGTCAGTTTACTAACTCGGCGAGCACTAGTGTAGAACCCACAGCCATCGAGGCAGACTGGTTCTTTGCCACTGCTGGATATGATAAACATCACGGAGTGTCCGAACACCAATTTCAACCGGGTGTCTTCGCAACCAACAGCATGGTTTTCACGGGCCCCACAGTACTGATCCAAGGGTATCTAATACTTTCAAACTTGTGTATGGACAAAGTCCACGCTTCTTCTAACCAGGAACGAAGATGCCGCGGTCACTGCTGAAACAACTTATGAACGGCCCGAAACTGTTTGAGGACCACCGACCACCGTCAAGCCAGGATCTTCTACCTTTCCAGAAAACTGAAAGTGACAATCTAGGTTACCTTTACTTTGAGGACCTGTTTGCCGACATAACAGTTGGCGAAGAATTCGCGACCGGTTCGGGGGAAGACCGTGAGCTTCCACCGTGAGCTCCCTCGCTCCCTCCCTCCCTCTCTGTCTTTCTCTCTCTCTCTCACTCTCCCTCTCTCTCTCTCTCTCCCTCTCTCTCCCTCTCTCTCTCTCTATTCCTCTGTAATTAACAATATCTATGTATATATATATACATATTCTAATAAAAATGATTCTTCACTTCCAAGGTGCTTCTCTTCCGCAAGGGATACAGACCCATGTGGGAGGCCGCTCGGCCGCTTTTGTGCGGGCCGCTTATTCAGGGGCTGCGTGGTGGCCTTAAAATTGTTCTTTTTGAAGATGTAACAGTATCCGATAGATATAGAGCACGATGTGACGTACATTTGGCATGTGTGTCATCTTCATTTTTGCATTCTCTTTGTCTCCATGAGGTGGAGGGCACACAGTACACAGGTTCATCAAGTGTAGGAATCATGATCATGTTGGATCATGGACATATTACGGAGGCCTTGGGAACCGGCTTCCATTCGGCGTCCCCGAAGATGCCCAAGGAGATGTAGGGATTCTGCGGTCATGAGACTTGTTCTGCTTTCTTGAAGAACAAGTGTAGTACTCCATCATACTCTATCCATGCCGACACTCGGGCACTGCCCCCCCGGGCGCGGATACCCTCTCTGTCCTTGCAGTCTAGGAATTCCCGGAGGGTGGGTGCTGGATCATCCGTATCAAGCGGAAGGCCACGAGTGGGGGGAGAAGTCGGGTGATGGTGGCAGATCAAGGTCCGGGTCCTGCGTTGACGTCATCACCCAGATCTCAACAGATCAGCCCGTAACGGACCCAGATCAGTACCAGATCAGCGAATGCTTTGAAGAACCAATGATCTCTGCCTCCTCCGACTCATGTTTTAGCAGAGTCGGTCCTTGGTGTTGAATATGTACTTGGGAATCAAAGCAAGCTGTAGTGGGACACCAAAGAATGGCAAGATATATAGAACATGATACATTGTTGTTGGATTCTAGGTTTCCAACTCAGTTTGAACTTGCCACCCAAATAGTGGTTTTCTTGTTTGTCCGCTGCACCCACACAAATCAGCCCAGTATGTTCTTGAGGCGGAACAGACCAGAGGAACATCACTCGATGCACTCTGGGGTGACGAGACATTCCAGGTCTTAAGTCTGAGACAAAGTCATTTGGGCTCATCTTCCCACGAATCTTCAAGGCCGATTCCTTGCAATTCCTCTTGCAGGTGGACTCGTGAACCTCAGCAGAAAGCTGATAAAAAGTCCTGTCTTAGCAAATTTGGCTAGCACCGTGAGCCAATGACAGCAACGCCAGGCTTCACAGAACTATGTGAATCGCATGTGGGAGAACCTCCTTTTGGCCTTCATCGGAGAGGTGACGGTGAAACGTTGCACCGCCGGTGAAACACCGGTGGACGGCTGCAACCTCGAAGGGCCGCATCGAAGAACGCGGATGGTCATGGGATGGTCGTGGGATGGTCGTGGGCGGGGTCCACACATCGTGGGACATGGGGGCGGTCCACATTGGAAGTTTTGGAGTGGGAGAAGAAGTGAAGACAGATTGTTTTTTGATCGGCTTCACCACGAGCGGGATGGACACAGTTCGCTAAGTTGGTCGTTGATCAAGGGGTTGGGTAACGAAGCCTCAAGAAGCATAAACACCCATAAATGCAATGAATACATTATCCTTCAGTCTAGCAAGTACGTACATATATGTATTATATGATGACTTTGTTTTGATCCAACAGGACAGACTAAGACGCTTTCTGGTCCAAAAGAAAGACCCTTCATTGACTCTCACAGAATCTTCATTCTTTTGTCGCTCTGCTGCCACTCCAAGCTTTGACCACCGACCCGCGTAGGAATTCGAGCTGCCAGACGTGGTGGGCTGCGTGCTCTCCACCCGCCTCAAGGAGAGCGGGCGGGACATGTTAGGCGATCTCTTGTGTGTTGGGTCCCGACTCCTCAGGACGATGTGCTGTCGGTCTGGAATCTGACCAACAGGGACAATTCCGTGTGGACCTTGGTGTGGACTGTATGGAAGGAGTGGGCCTACACCACAGCTAGCTATTAACAGGTGCATCGCTACTAGAAACAAGTGCATTACAACTAGTAGCAAGAAGATGCATTTCAGTCTTTATTCTATACCAGATATTTTGTTTGCTGCGCAGACGGGTTTCTTGCTGGTGCTTCAACATCCTTTCACAACGAGTTTGCACTGTGCGGATCAGTTTGAGCGCCATCCCAAATCCAACCAAAGTGGCCGCCTGTCTCCGCTTTGAACCTAGTGACAGAGATGCCGCCCACTGACGGTTTTTGGCAGCTGCCACCCCAGGCACGCTTCCGTATTGGCGAGAAGTTGAAGGAGGCCAGAATCTAGTCATAGGGCAGAGTCAAAGAACAATTCGGGTGACCTCGAATATGGGCATCCTTTTGACAGCACTTTAAATTCACATTGACATGTTGTTCGCATGGTCTTCCTTGTGGTTTTTCTTGCATTCGTCGGGTCTGGTTGAATGCGATCCCTCATGGTCTGACGCATGATGGCATGCCGAGGTCCTGGGGCTGGATATGAATGCCTTGATCCAATACAAGGATCACATGCAAAGCCTCCAGGCTGGCATGACGAATCGGGTGGCTTTGTGCGGTGGATTTAGCCACACCACATCTGCAGAGCTGTTGTAAGGTCAGCATCACAAGGCAAATCCACCAACTCCGCCAAATTACCAAACATATCCAAAATCAAATTACAACTAACAGAACGGCTCAGAGATGTCCTTATATTATGATCCGTTTATGTAATTCCTTTGTTGAAAACAGATGCAGGAACAGGTAGACGCTGGTAGGCGCTTGTCATCATCATCATCATTGCGTATTTTTCTTAGGTCTCGGTAAGCTCTTGCCGCGCTTTGGTTGCCTTGAGAGACAACAGATTTATATATTTGTATATAGAGGTTGAACTGCAAGCCAACCCAAATGCAGCAATGTGTTACTGTAATGACTAACTAATGAACTACCTCTATCTAAGGTTTTCCGAGTTTTCTCAGCAAAGCACGGGATCAATCTATAATAGAATCACGATCACACCGCAAACTAACCAAGAGGATGTCACTTGGAACGAGCCACACCCACTCACCGAGATCTCTACACCCGTGCAGTGCCTAACATCTGCGGCAACCGGATCCGTGTTTGGCTCAAGAATCGACGTGTTTCAGATTCGATGTGTGCTGAAGGAACCGCAAAAACCAAGAGAGATGGATTCGTCAGATGTGCTGAAAAAAGCTCAAATCTGGACAGTTTTTTCATCACGGTCTTGGCTGCTAAGCCTTCTGGATCGTTTTGGTGTGAGATGAATATACGACCAAGGATTCAGCAGCTCCAGATGAACGAGTGAAGATAAGCTTGAACACCTGCACTAAGAACTGAGTGAGCACTTTTGCTGTTCAATCTGGACCCTCAAAAACACCATCCTACCCTTCTTCGGCGCCAACGGTTTTGGATTGCTCCGGAGAACGTGGTCGCGGGCTGAGAGTGGGGCTGGGGGACTATATGGCCCTCTGCCAGGCAAACTTTGCATGGGACGACAGGCTTTGTGGGCTGTCGGCTGTCGCCACCTAGGGAAGTCAAGCCTAAGGGATCTCAAATCATCCTGTCTTGTATAGATGATACAACTTCATACAACTTCCAAGTATTACCAGTCCAGGCTAGAAGCCAGAGTCAGGGCGTCGGGAGTTGTCTTGGCAGCTTCCTTAAGGTCACCATGCCGTCTCCAATGGAAGAGAAGATGAAAGCCATGCGTTTGCCTTAGTGCCTTAATGTGAAGCCATGCAGAACTGAGAATCTTGAAGTTACCATTCTTGCAGAGAAGACATGCTTGGGTGCCAGTTCGATGGATTTGTTGCATGAGAGCTAACATGGCTCAATCTGCTTCCCAGGATTCCTCCCGTATTTCTTTTTGCTTGGTAAGCACGATACAGGATATTTTGAGACCTAAGTTCGTCACATGCTACGGACAAAGGGGCCAGCACCTTGGACGAGTGACAAACTGAGGTTGGCCCTGAATGCCAGAGGAGGCAAGCAGGCGCCGAACACTTGACGCCGATGGACGAGACCCAGCATGGAGGTGAAGTGGAATGCAAGTCAGTCTTTTCTCAAAACATCAATCACTCGTGGCCGAGGTCAGAAGCGCTCAAGCGAGGCTACTGTAGAAGACTGAAGATGTGGCCTCAAACATGGTGGACCTTTTGGTTCCTTTGTGTGGAATATTTTTGAATTCGATGTCTGTTCTTCACCACCAAAACCGCAGGTTTGGTCCCCCATCTCTCCCCCAGCAGCGAAACTCCTCCTCCAGGATGCCAAGGTCGAGGACGCCGGCTTTATGACAAGCGAGTCTGGGCCAGAGGGTGTAACCCAATCACTATGGTGCTCTCAGCAGCTAGTTTGTTGGGTTTGTCTCAGTCTATCACCCGTGTTCGATGAAGAAAAGATGTCCAGTGGCGTGGCATATTCCGGCCCATTGGCGTGGCAGCAAAGTGTGTGCACCAAAGCTATGTTGATCGATGGAGCGGTGGATGCCATCGGCCCCAAAGGATCTAATCTTAGGAGGTACTTCTATCACGTGTTGGTGGACGCTGCTTTGCAAGAAAATGTCACACAAACAGTGTGGCACTGCCACGCTTCAAATTCAGACCGTGCGAACTGCCACAAAACTCAAAAAAATCAACACACATTCACCCCTTGACCTGCCACAAATCTTCAAATTTGGACCGTGCGAACTGCCACAAAACTCAAAAGAATCAGCACACCGTCACCCCTTGGTCTGCCACAAATCTTCAAATTTGGACCGTGCGAACTGCCACAAAACTCGAAAAAAAACAACACACATTCACCCTTTCACCTGCCACAAACCTCAATTCTGGTGACATTTTTTGCTAAAGCAAGACGTGGCACACGAACTTCCTAAATCTAATCTGTGGAGATGGCTAGTCTGACTAGGTGCGAACCCGGACTTTCACCATCCCATCCAATCTGTGGACTCCTGGCTTTGCATCCAACCGCACATGTTTCATTGGACAAGGGTTCACCAACTTTGGAGATGGAGGGCCTTTCATTTCCTCCTTCCAGGCTCAGACCTGAATTCTTCCTTGCAGGAAAGATCACTGGTGCTTTCGGAAGGAAATCCTCAAGCAGGGTCAAGAGGCTCAAATCGGGCTGGCTAAAACATAAGAAGCCGTCCGGTGTGTCGGTGACCGCCGTCCGGAAGCCTCCCTTACCGTACGATCCAGGCGGGACAGATCTCAGCCTTCCATACGCACTCCTTGGCCTTTCAATCTCTTGAACATCCTCAATCATGTCCGTTCGTGAATTGAAAGGCAAGGAGAGCGCCATACTTGTTTCATTAAATCACAAGTGAAACATGACTGGTACGTCGAACTGGTTGATATGGGAGACCCCCAGGTAGCGACCCCCCTGGAAGGTTCGGAGAGCAGTCCGCCCATTGCTCCAATTATACCATATACATCCATACACACCCATATAGTGGCCTATATAGACCCCCAAGTAGATAGAAAAGTAGAATCCCCACTAAAAAGGTATTGGAAAACGTGCCACTATCTGTTTGAGAACAACTATACAATATTTATATACATTGTTTTCAGTGAGTGTGAGCGAAGAACTTGCAAGGAAAATCCGATTTGCCGAAGTGACGGACCTCATTATGCCGGTTCAGAACAAGACACACGACGAGCGAAAGAAACACATGCGAGGACTTAGGGGGGGTTCCCCAAGTAGATAGAAATGGTATTAACAGATAAGTTAGATCTGATTAGGGGTCTCACATGGTTTGATGCCCCAAAACAACCAGTTTTCCACCTTGTGCAGGTCAAGAGACTTGGGACATGGTGGGGCAGACGGAGCTGGTGCCGCAGCAACAAGTTGGGAGAAGATCGCGGAACGCAGGCCGGACTCGAAGGGATGGCGTGAGAGGCACTCTCTAAGGAATGTCAAGCTCCAAGGGCTTAGTGGGGGACGTTCTGCTCCCAGCCATATACCCTTTTAGTTTCAATTTTCCAAACCATGGCCCAGGCGCCTGAGTTGATTTTGGAGCCTTGGATGGGTTGACAGGTGATGAATCCACAGAAGCTCTTGTGCGTGCCAGCGCTGAAGTGATGCAACGGATGCGTTTTCGCATTCATTGAGGCTTTTTGTGGCCAGCATGGTGTGCATGGGGTCAGTCTCTCTAGCTGGGGTGTTAGGGGTTGGTGGGTTTGATGGTGCCAGAGACAAGTGACCAGTGAGACAAAACCTTGAGGGGTCCCAGAAACAAGCCTCTCTTCAGAGGAAGCAGTCCTTTGGTGCTTGCTCTTGCCCTAATTATCAACGGTCCATGCATGATCTTCCACAATATTGTCCCGACCAGATCTGCCAGATCCAGAGCATCTCGCAAATCCCCACGGGAATTCCCCAAGCAAAGAGAAGATCCGTTCCTCCAGCCCTTGTTACATTGGGAACTCAAGGAGTTGAGGGTACTGGAAACGGTGCGGTGTTTCTGTTTTGTCGTTCTGGCGGAGAAAGGGACGAGCTCACCTGGCAGACAAAGCCATGACAAAGCAAGGTTTTGCTTCATGTTTTTGGACAGTTGTCCAGCAACAGGCTCACTGCTTGGCCATCCACGGAGACGAGTCGGCCTAAAAAGCGGGCCGCCCACTTTTGGGGAAAGCTTCTGAGATGAACTTGCAGCTTGAAACAGACTGGGTGTTCTGTGTAGTGCTTTTCTTGCAGAAAACACCACCCGAACCGAAACATGATGAGACTCACAGGTCCCAATTCGACTGGCGAGCCGGGTCAAAGAAGCCGCAAACCGCAAGGCATCCACACCATCGAAATCTACTGGCCGCAGTTCTATTTCACCCAAGTTGACATGGAGGACCCGGACCTCCAACAGATAGACACGAGTATAGACACGCTATAAAAAGACGTGGACCTTGGTCAAAACATCAGGGAGGCCAGACAGCTTGCACTAGCAGAACAGTTGTGGGTGGCGAAACTCATTTGTTCACGGTTGTACTGACTGTTGATCTTCAGAATCCTGCCGCCAACTCAACACTCGACTTGACCTGCATCTCCGAGCTCAAGGTGAAAAAGGGGGGATGCTCTCGTGGCTCTCGTGCACTTGTGTGGCCTAGTAGCACCATATAAACCCTGCAAAACAACAGATCGGCACTTGGCAGGAGGCTGTTACAGCTGGACTGAGTAGAACAACAGGGTGTAGTTTTCTGTGCAAAAAAGGACATGTGGTAGGCTGGTAAACCTGAGGAACCTATGCTACAAGCCCAAATCACCAAGAGCGGAGTGAGATGAGCAGAGGGTTGGTCAACCCTTTCGCGCACGTGTAGGAGTTTGATGCCAAACCAGACAGGCGGGGGTTCCTGCAGTGAGGCTCATCAAGGACCAGTCTTTGACTTCGGCGGTAGCTGAAACCACACAGCAGGACCAAACCAGACTTTTGGGGACCGTTCTCTTGGTGGCTGGTATAGAATTGTTTTCTCCATCACCCAGGTGTCCTTCTGATTCAACTTTTCAACTGTGTCGCTTTGGCCACCGCTGTGTGCTCACAGAAAACGATGATCATTCACCGGACATGCCTCCTTTGTCGGTGCATCGCAGAAACATGGCACGTCTGTTCGACCCAAGTCAGATGTTGCTGTTGCACCCTCGGACGCAAACTAGGCAGGGAACAGAGAAAAACAAGGACTCTCCTTGGAAGACTGGAAGATGTCCTAATCCTTGGAAACCGTGCCGTGTTCTGCTCCGTCTGACGTCGGGGAGAATCTGGTGACAGCCACGCAGCGAACCGGGGTCCCGGCCGTTGAAACACCGCATCTTGCCACGCAGCGAACTGGTGTGCCGTTGTCGATGCACGGTGAGCTGCGGAAATTGGAGGTATGGCCCGACAGTCATCGGGAAATACACCAAAGGCGCTCAGGGGCCCGTCCTGTGGAGCCGGATCGATGAGAGGAGGGGTTTGGAGGGGAGAAAGCCCATTGGTCGCTCAAACGACATCTTTCGTGTGTAGGTCATGTCCACTCAAGTCTCTTCGTGTCGTGTCCCACCTCAGGAGATCACCAGTGCTATTTGACACACACACACACAAGAGATGTGCAGCTTTTTCTAGCACAAGATGAAGAGCGACACCGGCACTGGCCGGGTGAAACAGCACCAGCCAGGCATCGGCCAAGTGGAAGCGCGCTTCCCCACCGATGATGAGGATCCCATCTCCTTCTCCATGACTGTCGTCCACCGACTACTGGAGAGGATGGAACAAAAAGGCGCCGGGCGGAGCTGGAGCAGTTGGGTGGGAGAACTGAGAGTGCAGTGGATGATGAGCATCTTTGAAATTTCAGGTGTTGCGTGGTTTAAGATGAATGTGACAGATTCTCTTTTTAAAGGAGCTGTCATTAAGCGCGCGCCGTGTACCAGGCATCAACGAGACGGGGAACTACATGCCCAATGGGCAGCCTTTGAGTGTCTGGACACGTGGCAATGACATCATGATGTGGCTTGTAGCGTATTTTGGGCCATGGAGAACCCACCAAGCTGTCAACTTCAGTGCTCTTAGTGCAGGGGTTCGGCATTTGGCTGCTAAATCGATGCTACAACAAGTTGATTGAACCAATTGGTTTGCTTAAGGGAGGGTGACTGATAAGTGTTCTTGTTGAGTTGTTGTTGTTGTTGTTGGTTGTTGTTTTATAATGTTTTATATATAGTAGGTGCTGCAGCGGCCCCATTCCTGGATTCCTGGGCCATGTTTTAAGATATCATAAATCAAGCTGAAGTGCTCTCTGAGGCACTGAGGAATTCTAGAAGAATATAATTATACATCGGTGGATTGCTTCCCCATGCTTCCCCAGTCACCGTAGAATGGTACAACATGGTACACCTGGATGTATATATATATATATATAGAATTAATATGTAACATTTCTCTGGAGCATGTGTGGGAGTTCAACCAGAAGCATAGGCCTGTGCCAATCTCAGGAACGCTATTGGCCGCATAGACATCGGCACCGAATCTATTCAGGCCAGATGCGTGCGAGTTGCCTTGCATTTGATGCCCACTGGACCACGGGTCGTCTGAGAAGAACGTATTGTTTGGAGTTTATTTTCTTGAAACAGGGCAAACTGATGGAGGTTGCAGCATCTCTATATATCGGCCAGATCATAGCTTGAATCAGATGAGATTCATTTGGTTGACGAGAAATATACATATAAATTGTTGTATATATATATATATGTTGCAACCCGGTAGACTTGGCTGAGTCCTCGATGGGCGAACGAAGTGAGTACTAGGGGGCAGGACAACCCGGTAGGGTGAACCCAGAGCTTGGTCGGGGAGAGCGAAAAAAAGAGGTGGTCCAAAAGGTAGTGAAATGTATGTTTTAAAGGTCTGAGTCATGCGAGTGATGCAAATCACACTGAGTAGTCCATCATCAGCATCCACAAAGTCTATTAAAGTAGTTTACTGGACGAGCTAACCATGTGTGTGAGTCCAGGTAGAGGAGGAGACTGGAGACCAAATGTAGGCAGGGACCTCGAAGCTTCAAACTCCCAAAGGGACAGCGTTCCGGAAACTTTGCACGGAAGTTCCGGACAGCTTCACGCTTACAACTAGATATTAATACGGGGTGCCCTTAGTACCCACCAAAGCAATTCGAAATGCAACCAAGAAGGGCACCCACCGAAGCCCATGCAAAGACACCCCACGCCTCGACGTCTGTGAAGGACCCATGGCCGCTCAGCACATCGGGTAAAAGGGTCTATATCCATGTTTGATCACTGCTAGCAGAAACTCAACCGGATGACTTGAGCTTCAAGTTGAAAAAAACTTGGGAGCCATGCTCGAAGGACGCAAACAATAGAGTGACACAGGACGGACAACACACTACCTCTCACGACAGGAATGTGTCAGGATGACCCGTGCAAAAACTTGTTGACCTAGCAGTATGTGTATTGAATATACTTGAACTGCAGGTAGCCCCCGATCCACAGGTGAGAGGGGCTAGTTATTTTTTGACAAAAAGAGCACTGGATTTGTTGTCCCGCACCCATGCTGCTTCTTTTTCACCGGATGTTCAATCAAAAGCAGGAAAGGGCAATGCGTGGAGGGTTGGCCTAGTGAGCCTCCGCGTACACTGCCCGACTCGAGTTTGCGCTGAGCTTTCGGTAGACAAGCGCAGGCAGTTGGGCATCCTTACCGCAATTGTGAAGCTTGTAGTCATGTTGCTTGTCCAGTGCCCAGCAGCATAGCCGATCGCCCTTGTAGTGCACAGTCATCGCATCAAGGATCAAGGCCCTCGACGATAATGACCCGCCGTGCTGACGCTGGCATCATGCGTGAGAAAAGAAATTTTGTTCAGTGTCGATCTCCAGAGACAACCTCTCAGTGTCCCACAGCGAAAAGGTATTGAACAGTGCGCGTCTCAACATGTGGAGCCTGTGCTTGGCATCTCTAACATGGATGCCTTTATTGGCTGCGTCTCAGATTGACACGGTGTGTAGGAAGCCAATAGGTGTGGTCCACAGGGCATGGTCTGATTGCGCAGCACTAGGGTATTGTGCTTCTGCGAGGAATCCGTTTGGTTTGGAAGAATTGACACAAACTGTTGGAGTACTACCCAGTGACACTGATACTCCACTGTTTATCAAGCCAACCTCAGAGGTGGAGCGCCGCATTTAAGCAGGAAAGTGGTCGTAAGATGTTGTGAGGGAAGACTGTCAAGCATGGACAGAAGACGCAGTCCTGCTGCGCGCTACGCTAACCACAAAAATCACAGCCCGTGCTTTGTGAGGCTAAGGCCTACACGTTCAAATTGCTGCTCATGCAAAGTGAACCAGAACTCCCACACGTTTACCGTTAAGGGCGCCTTCTTTTCTACTTGAAAAGGGCCCTAAACCAATTGAAGAACGGCGCCCCCCTCGAACAGGGATATCCAAAGTTTTGAACGTTTGTACAAGCGCCTGGAACCCAAATCTATCCTATAACCAACAACAGTAACTAAATGTTACTGAAGGCCTTCAAACTTGTACAGCCCTGGTGTATACTGGCTCGATCATCTCAAGCGTCAATGTGAAACTTGGCATATTTGCTTCTTGGTCCGTGCCGACATCACCTCTAACTTTCTCAATCCGTACAGAGGCTGGCTTTCGTCCCCTCCCTTCTCAGGTAGATCTCTTGGCCCAAGGCTCAAGATCCAGCTGCTCAGGCCCGCCGCCCGTGAAGCCGGCCTGGTGCGCAACGCGGCGAGACCGCACGGCAAAGGCTTTGCCTTAAACGAGGGTGCCACATTCCCTTTGTGCTCCTCGATTGCCGTGAAGGCGGACCGCAGAAGATCAAGGGCATCTCCTTCTACTGAACTTCACACGGTCTACCTCTTTGCCTTTGCCCATCTTGGGGTGATGAAAGAAAGATCTCCTTCGATCCTATGAGCGTTGCGTCGTGCGTCAACAGGACAGCAGCTTCTGGCTGATATCACACGCCTCCTCACATCAGGTTCAACACTTTGTCAACTCTTATATCTTGGCACAGGTCCTCACCGCATTTCTGTGCTATGCCAACATCATCCTATGCAACTTGTAGTGTGGGACAATTTCAATCAGGCGCCAGGCTGCCAGGCAACTGATAGCTGCGCAGAGCCACAAGAATCAAACCGCCTCCACAAGGGTGCTGTGCGCCCTGCAATGTCCTCGAAGGCACAGGCCAGCGGACTTCCCCCAAGGGCGAGTCGATTCTCTTATGTTTGACATGAACCCGGCTCATCCGCCGGGGGACACTGTCATTGTGCCTCTATCATGGCTTTGAAGCTTTGAGGATGACAAGAAGCGCATCAAGTCTTTTGGTCAGCTCAGTGTGGAGCAGTTTTCAAGCTGCGAAACACACCACAGCTACTTGGTGGACTATGACTTCGACATTGATGGCCCCACGTGCATTGGCCATGGTGGCATCCCAGATTGCACCCTCGCTGTCGAAAACATATGGTTGACGAGGATGCTGTGAGATTCTGAGCTTTGGGCTGTAGACCTTCCTGACAGACGAGAATCATTGGAAGAGGAACAGAAACACAATTCTTCGTCTTGGAGAAGGCTTATCTTCGATACAAAGGCTATATTCTCAGCCGCGCCGGGGAGCACAGCTTCAAGGCCTTCATCCCGAGCCCATGCATGGTGGGTCCTCTGGATGCCGCCGTCTGGCAGGTTCATGCCACCCACCAAATTCATCGACGGGGTGATGCAGTGACCTGCCAGCAACGCGGAGCCCACTCCAAGATAGTGGCCGGCAGACTCTGGATGATCTCCAAGTTCCGCTCCCGATGCCCAACGGGGGACAGCAGACTCTTCGATTCCGACGCGTGAGAGAAAACCCGAATTGTCAAATACAGTATATATAAGGTACATATAAAAATCTAATCCAGTTTTCAGCTCCCTTCAGGGAGAGCGGTGTTCTCGATTCATGAGCCCGAGCCCACTCGAACGTTCGAGGACCGGTCCAAATCGATGAAGTCCTATGTGATGGACATCTTTGAGCGCTATGCCAACGAGTCCAACATCGAGGCGAGGAGTCACGTCCGAAAGCTGACCTGGTTTCACTCCTCTGGACACGCAGACAGCGGACACGCGTGCGCGGTTCGGACCCACAGGGTCGTCCTGGGTGTGGCTGGCTGAAGAGTCGCAGCTTCCTCTGAGCTCTTCCCTGGGCGGAAGATCATCTTTTGAAAGTAGCAAGGATTTAATCAGCGGGCTCCTTCAAGTTTATATAACTACCCAAGACCCAAGACATAAGTTTTCTTCTATGCTGCTCTGGAGGTAGTTGGGCCAGTTCCTCCCAAATCATCATCATCATCACCATCATCATCATCATCATCATCGTCACCATCACATCATCCTTTCATATTCCTGCTCTTGCACCATTTGTCCGCCAGGGTGTGGATCAATACAACGCATGCTATGGCGGTCAAGCCTGTGGGCTTTGTACTTTGAGTTGGGTTGAGTCAGATCGTCGGAGGCTCAGAAGCTTGAACCGTGGCCAAACGAAGGAGACGAAGGACGCAACAGACCTGCTCAAGGGCAGCGCAATTGAAGGGACCACGCGAGTGTGTCCAAGCATCACTGCTAGGGGCCTAATGCTGCCAGGCAACAGGGGCTTTCCGCACAATTATTCCGAGAAAGGGTTGATGAGTTCACATTTGTTTGACCAATTTGCTGCCACTTATGTATTGGCTTCACACACACACAAGCACCTGATCTTGCATTGACGGTGCAGCCACAATTTACTGCATTATATTTTAACATTTTTCAACCATTTTGGGCACATTTTAAGCTGGTGTATGCCCGTATGAATCTCAAACATCTCCCACAACAAGAGACAACGAAAAGTCTTATTGTTGTGGTAGATTGATGTAAATGGTGAATGAGCAAGTCTTATTATCCAATGCAACGGTAGGGATTGAGACCGTGAAAGAGAATACAACAACCGCGCTTTAATATACCAAGATTGTAAATACCTTTTGATTGAATGAATTGCGAGAAGGTAAGGACATTGCTTTTGAACCGTTTTCCAGTTTTCCCGCTCAAATCCGCTCTCCCTCTTTCCCAGCCAACGTCCGTCCTCGGGAAAGAAATTGTTCTTCCTTCGGACAGCCAAGAGTTTCAACTATGTCTCAACTGTAGCAGCCGACCTTGGAACCAACAAAAACTAACAATTTTCACCTCCCAAAACTCTCTCAAAAGCTCTCTCCAAACACCCCAGAAGTAACAACTTTGGTGCCCCCTTCAGAACAAGAACCACCCCCCAAGTTCTCTCTTTCTTCCGAGGCTGGGACGGCCGCTACGGCATTGCGGTGGCCACGGATATCTCCGAGGCTCATCCAGGCTTCATGGCCTTCGTTGGAGCGGTTTCTTGGCAGAGAGAACTGCTGTGGATGGGAGATGGAGAGTCACGGGATGGGCCATCGTGGGTCTCCCCGATTCGGAGAAAGAGTCAGGGTGAACAGAGTCGGAGCTTTAGATTTGGTTCGAACAGATGTTTTTCAGAAGATGCAACAGATTTCTTTCATTTCTCCTGTAGGTCTTGTACTGATTAGATTCTTTGATACCATTGTATAGGCTTCCAGGGGTGATGACTTCATCAATCTTCATAGCTTCGCAGTCTCACGAGAAGTCAAGTTCGCTTTTTCAAGTCGCGGACATCGTGGAGTAGTCACGCCACCCAACACTTCGACAATCTTTGACATGCGAGAGAGTTTCGGACCCATTAGACAAGTGTTTTTAGAGAGTGTCTGTCCTGTTACCTGTAGCCATCGGTAAAGAGCTATTACTATTACTCTTTTAGAGAAATGCCATTACTAACCTGTTGCTGGTAGTGGGATATACCTATAATATAATATATATAGTATACACAGAGTGTATGGGTGATGGTATTGTGAAGAATGATCTCTTGACTTATTCTTAGTTTATAGAAGACAAAGTTCCTGGGACGCCGAGGCAACCACTGCGACGCTCTTTTTCCCGGACGCGCCCATGTCTCACCACAGTCAACGTGGGGCGACCCATGAAGCGACCCATGAAGCGTGGACAGCGTGGAGTGTCCAGAAAGACGACAGTTTGCCAAACGACACTGGGAGTGTCAGTTGGCAAAGTCCCAGTGTCGTCTTCTCAGGACAAACTGACTAATTAGGGGGTTGGCAAACTCAAAAAGTGTCGTCTCTGGGTGAGCAAACTCCTCTCTTCCACTTTTCTCACTTCTGGGGGCTTTACTGATTTCAATTTGGAGACACTAGTCGCAACATGTCGCGGCTCTTTCTGTTGCTCTATCATATCCGTGGAGCTTTTGGTATCTCACCATTCAACAAGCTGTGGTGGCCTCGGTTGATGGCTACACACCGAAAACCGTTCTAGCAAGAGCGGAGTTGAAACCTAACCGAACTTATGGTTCATACGGGTTCGGAATTCAGTCAGCGTTTTGGGGTGACCCAACGCATGACCCCCCCCAAAAAAGATGAAAGCAAGTGGGAACAACTGCGAAGCGGATGAGCGTCTTTTTCTTGGTTCAGACTTTTGATCATCGGATACGGGGCCTTTTCGATTGTCCAGCTTTGGCAAGTCGCCCCGGTCGCACCCGGAACTCGCCCGGAACGCGTCCACTCTGTTCATATTTCCGCGGTCAAGCAGTGAGCAGGGTGCCACCATAGCGTCCGATCGCTCCGTTCGTAGCGATGCCCGAAATGCTCCGTTCGTAGTGTTCTTGTTCCTAGTAGTAAGGCCAGGAGCCCCGATCGTAGCGTCCAGGGGTCAAGCAGGGTTTCCATGGGTTCTCTGCTTTTGTTCATTGGGACTTCCGATGGCCTCCGACCTCGCTCTCCCCGCGACTCTCCAGGCGCCTCCTGTGTGCTACATCGTTTCGACTTCTGCAAACCGGTTGGCTGGCAAGGAGCCTCAGGAGCAGAGAAAGCCAATCTGGGGGTCATGATTGGAGGTGAACATAGGGGAACTAGTGAACTTGGCATGAAGAATAATTCGTGACATGGTGATTGAAAAGACTGTGAACCATCAACAGCCCCCCTGGTCTTTGCGGGACTCGCGTTTCAAATGATTTGACCCAGAGGTTCACACCGACCTGCAGACGTTGCACGTCGCTGGACCGGTTGAGCGTGCCGGTCATGGTGGGTTTTCGTCCGGTTCTGCTCGGCGAGACGAGAGACGGGCTATGGCCGCGAGCTGAGACGTGAGACGGAGATTTGAAGACCGGACCAGCTGGCTCTGATGTTCCGAATCCGCACTCTCGAAGCTTGGGGGGGGCTGATCACTGTACCTTCATGCTTCCTCCATCATTCTAGGGTGATGTGGGGAGACCATAGTATCTCCACGACCCAATTCAGAGGCCTTCACGACCTCCCGGAATTGCAGGTGCAGTGAAACCAGGTCCAACCGGCCAACCAACCCCGCACTCCAGTTCTTCCCAAGCCTGCAGGTTCCCTTTCTCCGCTCGTGGTATCCAAGAACAGGTGGACGTCGAACATGTGGAAAGACGATCGACAGGAAGTGCTTCACGTCCATGTTACTGTGAGTCGGAGTGTATTTATTCCGGAATAGATTTGGTCGAGATCTTGCGGGGTGCACCTGCCGGCAGGGCTTTCAGCTGGCCATATTCAATCTTGGTCGATCTTAGCTCTCCCTGCGCCGGGCATTTTTGAAGAAACGGGGCCTGTGTGGCCCTGCCCTGTGAGGCATGATATGGCACCCATCACCGATGGCAAGTACAGTGTGGAGTGCTACCTTGACGCAGGGCAACCCGAGCACAAAGACGTCGGGAAGGGATTTTCCTCATTTGGACTTAACATGATTTAAAGTGTTTCATGTTTTCCTCCAAACAAATTGAGGAAGGATTTTTGCCAGAGAATCTCCTTTGAAGATGGTTTTCGGATGCTACACACTTTTGTCCATGGATGTTCCTCCAGTTGCCGGATATGGCTCCCAGTATTCGCAGTAAACATGCCTTCCCATAGTCCAAGCATCATCGAAAACGGAAACTTCTGGCATGCACCCTCTTTTGGTATACTTGGCTACCTCTTATTATGTTTTGCCGTCGAATTACCTTGGAAACACCTATAAAGTGCCGGACTTTTACTTGGAACCCTGTCTATTTTCCAAAACTAATTTTCCCATGGCATAGAAACACAAAGTCCATGCAGAAGATCACCGCACTTACTGTAATGCAAAAAGACACTTAGGCACTTCCTGAAGGATAGTGACAAATTTTGTCCACTTGAATATATGTCCGGCACTGCTGAGGGAAACACACTTAGAAATCACACTCATCACTTAGAAATCTAGTGGTTTGTTTAGAACAATGAACAGACCATGTTTCAGAGAAGACCTCACCAACCCGCAAAGAGGGCGAGGCGAGGATGGCATTGTTTCGAAGCCGCCTGCGGGAAGACCATGGGCAGGTTCGTTTCGTGTAGCCAGACCACTCTAAAGTGTAGGACAGTTACCATGCACTCTAAAACCACCTTTGTTTTCCAAACCTGTTTCTAACTATTTGTCCGTCGCTATATAAGTATTTTTTCTAGCTTTTTCGAGGTCCGAATCCTCTTTTGCCCATCACAGATCGTCCTTACTGGACACCGCGCCATGGGGATCAACACCACCCACCCACGCCATGAGGACACGTCAGGGGTTTTTGTGCCCGACCGAAGCTGAGACTAGTGGCGACGTTTTTTTGAGGTCTCAGCAAATCTCCGGATGACTTGAAGGGTCACGCATTGACGAATTCAGAAGAAATGGTTGATGCCTCCATTCTGAAAAGGAAAGGAAGATCGCTTGGAGATGTCAGCTCCAGTTCACCTTGGAGCCGGAGCTGACAAGGCAGACTTGGAGGCCAGTGGCAAAGATCTATAACGATCCGCGAAGGCTGCGAAGCTCCGAAATCAGAAACTGACGCCCAGCCGCTGCCGAAAGCTGTCGCCCAGGCGTTGGATGCCTGTCATTCGACCTTGAGGCGAAATTGCAGCGATTGGGCCGGGCGGATTGGGTGCGGTGAACCAACATCTTTACCTTTGGATGAACTCATCCAAGTAGTTGATATCTAGTATTATAATGAGCCATCCATCATGTTTACAGGCATTTGAACATGTAGTATCTCATAGTATCTCATGTATTCGCTGGTGGTTGGGCCCAAAAGACTCCAGTTGCCTTTGACACGGGAGCATCTGTGGCAGCGTTTCCAAAGTTCTGTGCCAAGACAGAGGATTGCTCTATCAGTTTTGAGGCTGGATTGGATCGTTTTGGGGCTCGTTAGCGCCATGTGCGCAGTAATGTGCGAACACAGGGGGATACTATATTATAGGAATCTTGTTGAGCGTTGAACGATTTGTTGCTGCAGCGTGGAGATGCCAGCCTTCGATGGAAACGACGTGAGTTATCGCTTCACATTGTCTAGCCGAGCCGCTAAGATGTTTCAATTGTATGATACATTCCACAACACCAACAGTTGCTGACCAGATGTCGGCTTTCAGCAGGGACCGTGTGAGGTCCACTTGCGCTGCATTGACCATCCTTTAAGGTGCTGGATGGGTAAATGCGGAAAGTACGGCATTTTCTCCGCAGTGTTGCCCGAAGTGCCGGCTGAGAAAGAATGCCGCTCTCACGAAAAGATTCTGCGACCTTTTGGACAGGCGCGGGGGCTGGGCAAGGCGGCAAGCCGGAAGGTCCAACTATTTGCGCGAGCAATTGCCACAGGGACTATTTTGCGGCCTCCCTCTATGTGGGTTGTTTGCAGCTACAGCTGTGCCTTGCAAACTGGCCGCAGAAGATCCCTACCAAGGCCAAAAGATTTACGGGCGATGCAAACTTTTGCGGCTCGCTCTCTCCAACTCTGCGCGATGGCGAAGAGGCGCCTGCGGTGTGGCCGGACTCGGACGATGACGTTTCGCCGGGGAGCTGATGTGGAAGAGCGCAGATTCCACCCGCAGAAAAGAAAGCCAAGGAAGCTGTAAACGAAAGGCAATGAAAGCCAAGAAGGAGGCCGAGAAGGAGAAGAAAGCGGCCGAGAATGAAACAAATCAGCGAAGAGAACACCGGCGCAGCCGGGTTCATCGTATTTCTTGTGGGTTGTTAAAAATGAATTGTTTCCATGTTTTTGGTGGCTTCTGTTGGCCATCGTTGGCTTTTGGCGGCTTCTGTTGGCTTTTCCTAGCTTCTGTGGGCAATTTGCAAGTGTGGCGGGCAGCGGCGGGCACTCTGCTGCTGCAGGTGGCCAGCTTGCAAAGCTGTGTGTGGCCGTGGTTGACGGCCAGATTCTCTATGCCGCGGGCTCTGGCCAATGTAGCACACACGATCCTTAAAACCGTTGCTTTTTTGCGCTAGTGGGGGCAAGGTGCTGCGCCCTCCCTCCCAATCCTGCTCCCACACCACGAGCCACGAAAGCTGATTTTTAGCGGAGGGCGGAAGGCACCCTTTTGGCAGAAGTCTCGCACAAAGCGCTCGTGTTTTAAAGACGGGTTTCCCAAGAAATGCTTGCTTTGGAGGCTGGAGACTTCCCCTGTGACTTTGGAGGAAGGGGCCTGACCGAAAGCATCCACAGCAAGAGCAGAATTAAACTATCCAACACTGCAGAAAACAAATCATCAGAAAGACTGGCGGCCCACAGCCGGTGGGCGAATAGCTGTGACGCGCAGCGCGTTCCGAGCTGTGGGCAAACCACCTTGGCCTAGTGACCTAGTGTTATTTTTCCAGCAAGCAAGGCGTGCGTAGGGGACTCGCCGCAGTTCGAAGGCAACCCCGTATGGACCGAAACTATTAAATTATGGTTGGGCACCCTACCTGGTACTGTGTCCGCCCTGTACCGTTGCGATGCTGTTTGAGAGTCGTTTCCGTTGCAGAGAATGGGGCCTTGGCTTACGCATGCGGTTCTTCAACTAAGATTCGCATCATTCAAACAAGCATCCACCACTGTCCACCACAAAGGTTTGGGCCTCTGTGATTCTATCAGGGAACACGGCTTGTGCGGCAGGCAGAAGCTGAATGGACGTGGTCCTTTAGAGGCTCGACGCCCGCCGTTCAGAGGATCATGAACCGAGCTCGAATTTTCTCAGTCAGTCAACGTGAACTTGATTTGGTTCTTGGTGTCAAGCTGGGAGTAGTGTTGTAGTTCGTTGAAGAGGTTTGGGGCTTCAACCTTTGTACAAACAATTGCCATGTTCCATACTTAGAATTCCATCATGCTTCCAAGGGCTCCCCAGACTCTCCCCAAAATCTTCAGCACCCGTTGTTAGTGGAAAACTGCATTATTCAGTTTTCTGTTATTTGAGGTTGCCAGGTTAGTCCAATTTGATCCACTTGTCCATTGTGAGGCACCTGAGATTCAACCAGCATACTTATGCCGCCAACCAAGGTGACCGACTTGAACGTCTTCCACACTGGCGGTGGTTATCACATTGTGAAGAAGGCGTGATGTGTTCTTGCTTCGCTTTTATCCTTGCCACCAAACACCGGGTCGTTCTCCAAGACAGAACTTCTACAACCCTCTGGACCCTGAAATCTAGTCTCTTTGAAGGATCCTTGCCAAACAGGACCTCACTCGACATTTCAGCTGAAACACAGATAGTACTAGTACATGTTCGTCAAGCATGCCAAATGGATGGTTCCAAAGAGCGCAAAAGGAGATTTCTCCGTTTGCACAGCTCCAATGGTTTTGCTGAGGCTTTTGAACGACTTGTACGAGCGGAGCAGAAAGGCATTAAGCCGGATGAGAAGGACCGCGCAGCGCTGCGGTTTGTTTTGTTGTTTTTTCTTCAGTGTTCGCCCGGTTGTTTGTTTATGTATGTTTGGCTTCGTTTTCGGGATTGATGGAGACAGACAAACTCTTCATATATGAGCATTTTTTTCGATGACTCCAGTCTCAGCATTTGCCGTGCGTTGGGTTCGCCGGGCCTGGCTTCTTCTAGGAGCGACTCGTCCAGGAGAAGCTCGCGCCCTCTGCCGGGAGTCTCAAAAGTGGGCCCCAAACCGAGAGTCCCGTAGAAGGCGGCTCACTGTTTTGGCGCTGAAGTGTCAACAGCAGCAGTTACAGATATGGATGATGACGGACGGTTGGAGGTTTGATGAGGTTTGATGTGCGAAACCATTTTTGGGTTCAAAGCAGCATTTTCAGGCAACCATCGGCCAATTTCAGGCAACCAGCTTGCTTTGCCGTTCCTATTTGGGAGAATGAGTGTCGGCTGTGAAGATGGCTGCATTGGTCTGGGCCTCATTTCTGTGCTTCAAGGCCCATGGAGTCCGAAGGAGCCCTTTTCGGTGATCCTCGAGCCCTGCGTCCTTTTCACACAACCAAGGCCTCCCAGCTTCCTTCCATCACCGCCACAACGTGTGCAAGCAACGCCCTATGTGATCCCTCCTTCGCTCCTTGGTCTCAAAGCAGAGATGCCATCGTCACCCGCAAAGACCTCAAGGCAGTTGCTCCTGGAAGAATGCTTGGAGCGGGGCTCTCCTAAAGATGAGCACAGTGAAAGGAGCCACCAGAAGCCACAGGTCTTGTTATCAGTGGTGAGTGCAGAAACCATGTCAAACGGTATGAAGGACAGCCATGAAGCCATTCCTTCAGTCTTCGAAGACAACACGCCCGCAGTGACCACAGTGATGATGCGCAACATTCCCAGTCGCTATACTTGTGAGGAGCTGTTGAGGGAGCTCATCCTGGCTGGTTTTGATCGAATGTTTGATTTCTTCTATTTGCCCATGGACTTCAAGACCAAACGCAATCGTGGTTATGGCTTCATCAACTTCCAATCTCCGGACATCGCCAAAGACTTTGCACAGAAATTTCATCACCGGCATCTCAGGCTCCACTCCTCCAAGAAACTCCTGGAGGTGGCTCCGGCGATCACGCAAGGGTATGAGGCAAACGTGAGGAAGGTGACCAAGGAGTTAGGGCGCATCAAGAACAGCTGGTTCAGGCCAATGTTCTTCCAAAGCTCTGAGGCTTGCGAAAACAACTGAGCTGAAGGACTGTGTTGGTCAAAATGGGTTGCCTGAGTTTACAGGAGAAGCTAGTTGATTGAGTTCAGTTCTTTCTCAGCTAGTATTCATTGGTTCGAGTGTTTTTGATAGAAAGCGATCAAGAGCCATGAAGGCTTCATTCAATCCAATGATATTGGAGAAGAAGTTGAACTACCTAGCGGGAGTTCTCAAAACACCACCGAACCACTTAGTTCATTGAGATTTTTGTTGGACATATTTCCTTCTCCTGGACGCTGGGCCATTTGGGATTATAATGTTGGGATTATAATCCGTGATCGGTACTCCCAGTATTTTGTGGGCTTTGAAACCAAATTCAATCTTTTTGCGCCTACCGTGGGGCCTCGCCGTGAGCCGAGCAGAATATCCCAATGGATGGATATCCTTAGTTGTTCGCCAGAACAGTGTTGTGATCTACAAAATATATGTACACAGGGGCATTATGTGGCATCCATTTTGCAAATACCAAATCATATCTCTGGCTGCAACTTGCAACTCGAATGGTGTGTCTTCGTTGCCGCAATCTCGCCGTTCAGTTCGCGAAGAGGACAGGAGGCCACACGGTTCGTGCAGTTCTCCTGCTGGGTGTTTTTCAGCATTGCAGGGACCCTGGCCACAGCCGAGTTTTGGCACAGCAGCTTAACTCCGGCTGTGCGAGAGTTCAGCGTCCGGCGCGATCAGTGGGATGGAGACCTTTGGGCAAGAGAAATCATTTGACACATTTGTGTTTGTAGCTCAACTACGGAGACCTCCCAGGCAACAACTCGGAAGAAGGGAATTAGGCCAATTACCCATTGGGGGGGGGGTTCCCTTTATAGGAATCCCATTTGGATTCGATAGACTAAAAGCGTTCAATGCTGATGTCGGGCTACGCTGTGCATCGCTCTGATTTCGGGATCATCGGAGATGATCAGTCAGCCAAGTTAGCCTGGCCAAGTGACCAAAGGAATCTGAAAGTAAAGGGAAACACGGAAGAATGATTGCTGCAGGATCCGTTTGCCAGCTGCCAGGGATTGCCAGGGTGTATGTTTAGTGCAATCAATCAAGCCCATGGAAGATTGCAAAAAACGCTTCCAACGGGCAGGGTGAAAGTCATCAAGGTTCTGGCTTCGAAACCCTTGGGATGTTTCGGGGCAGCTGGGTCATTTTCCTCAAAAAGAAAAGACCCAGAGCGAAGAATGGGGACAGAGTTGGTTGAAACTGTCCGTCGAACGATTGTAATCGGTCAATGTCATGCATGTGTGATTTTTTGGGAATTCTTGCCTGGAAGTCAGCCATGCTGTCAAGGACTGATGGTCATGACGGTGTTTAGTCTGACTTTGAGAAAAGAGCAGCGTGTGCTATGGCCTTCAAGAAGGGCCAACCAGCTGGTGGTTTCAAGATGTAAAAAACCATGCCATGTTCAACCGAACGAACCCACGACTCGAACGATCCATGCCACGACTCGAACGATCCATGCCATGTTCAACCGAACCGGTCCATTGGAACCACCAGATAAGGCAACCAATCCATGCTAAGGCAACCTTGCATGGCCTTGGATAGATGTAACTCCAATCTGTGTGGGAACTGTGACATGCAGAAGATGACCGATCCACCTTGGCCCAGCAGAGGTACAGAGTCAGAGAATAGCCCGAACGGAAAGTTCCTTCTATACAAAGACTAAAGCTTTGGTTGCAAGACTTTGCCAAAGGCTTTGGGCTATCGGCTGCCCCTGGCCCTTTGGGCTATCGGCTGCCCCTGGCCCCTCAGTGTTTGCCAAACACGGCTTTCTTTCGTGATGTGACCTGCAGAGCATTTTCATCAATCGAGCCCAGATGGGCCCTGAATCTGTACCCAGCTGCGACCCGGAGCTTCAGAAACCTTCGGAAGGTGGCTTGGAGCTCCACTGTTGGAGGCCTCCGCCAGCGCTGATCGTCACAGGAACTGACCCGCGGAAGAAAGCGGTTTCAGCCGTCCGAGACGAACGCGCGGCGACCGGTTCGTGGACCGTGCCGTCGGTGTCCAATGAACATGTTTGGTCGTGCCGTCGTTTCATGCATGTGCAGCAAGTCAAACACCTCGCTTTTTGTTTTCTGGATTTGTGTTCGGCTTGCTTTCACCTTGTTCCCCCCCTTTCACGGCCTACAAGCACTCGCCGTTGGGGTGGTTCGGGGTGGTTCGGGGGTTTGGGTCCACCAGATCGGTGAAGCCAACGACGAAGCCGCGGCGTACGCGTGGTCGACGACGAGCGCCCTGATTTGAACGCGTCCGACTGTTCCGTTCGAGTCGCGATGCCAGGAGCCCCGTTCGTAGCGTCCTTGCTCCTACTTCGCCCAGGTGAGTTTGTTGAAGATCATCGGACCCTGCCACACCGTCTCGTTGGAAAGCTCAGCAAATGTTTTGCTCCTCTTTGCATGCTCTTTAGGCCGGCCTCCGATGGTTTTTCGGGTGCCAAGAGGTGGGCAGGTTCGATTCTTGTTGGAATGATCGTGGTTCTCATACCTTGATCTTCTAACCGCACAAGATTTCTGCCTTAATCATCTATACAAACCAGCCAAGTGAGGAAGTTGGAAGATCCAGGTATGGAAACCACATTGAACCATCACACCGTTTCCAGGAAGATATGCCGAAATGTCAAGCGCGATTCCTTATCCCAGATGAGTCAGGAAAGTTGAAAGGGCAGTTTTGCTCCCCACCTTTGGCTTACATCCAAACCATGAGAGCGGGAGGCAGGGGAGAGCAGGATGTTGGCACCTCTCTCAGGTCTGTCCTTTCTGTTCAAACGCACACTATGATACTATATTTAGTTGAACACAATGAACAAATATATATATATATATGTATGTATACACACTAATTATATCATGCATACAGTATTAAGCTGCATATTTACTTCAAGTTGCTGTCCATGTACACATTTGATTGGATAGGTTACCACCAAACAGAATGGGCAATTATGAGGTTACCGAGCATCCATGCCCTCTAAAGAGATGTAACAAGCAGTCATGTACAAACAGGTGCGTGAGAACAGAACTTCCCGAACCTCGCTTGTAAAAAACCTGGTGCGTTGATAAGTTGATCCTTTTACGCGGCAACACTTCTCGATTCCAGCGTCTCCTCGTTGTTTGCCCACTCATGAATTCAACCTTCCTTTTCATGAATGTGATGTCCTCCAGTTTCTTTTTGGATGCGAACATGAAGTGCATCATTTTACCCTTCACGGTAACCAATCGAACCATAGCTCTTGTGGCCGAAACCGTTTCGTTGTTGCTGGGTATAGCAGCACTGACCGGATTCAATTACTTGTGCCTCTTTTTTCCCCCTCTCTGCATAGTCTGGATTAATCACCCCCCCCGCAGACATCCATGGTACTGTAAAACCTCGCCGTATGGGGTTTGTTTATCAAGATTCTATTGATTTTTGGGATGAAGGGGCACAGCACTCACTAGCTGGAGCTGTGTGCCAACTCCTTGAAAATACCCTTGTGTCGGGGAACAGTTCTGTGTTTCGTGCTTGAGGTCATTCCTGAACACTTCTTCTGTCATCATGAACAAGATGGAGCAGGAACCGTCCGGCAAGTCGGGGCTTTTCCGATCCCTCGAACATGGCAGCTCGTTCGATCGTTGTACACGAAGGCAGGACGCCGTGTGAGGATCCTAAAGGCCGTGAGGTTCGCGAGACAGCTACGGCTTTGGTGGTTGCTATTCCTTGTCATCCCATGTCCTGTCTCAAGTCATCCCATGTGCTTGTGTGGCCGATCGTCGTCCTGCGCTTGCGCGATTCAGAAGGTGATGGACTGGGCCTGAATGAATCGAAGCGGAGTTCACCAGCTGTTTGGTAGTCGGATTTTATGGTCACTCTAAGTGGATGGCCCGTGGATGGCCCACGTTGGCCCATGATGGTTTCATGCAGTGCGTAGTTGTGGGGGTAATATTTAATGGTAAAGGTTGTGGATTCAGCAAGTCAAAGGGCAACAGACATGTGGCTTAATCGGAACCTCTTAGACATTTTATTTTTCCCAGTTGATTGTCTCTTTGGTGTTCTGTCTCATGTTTGATCCATTCACCTACTGAAATGTGTTCATTTTGTTTTCTAAAGCTGTCCATACACCACCTATCCTTAAAGGCTGACGATGCAACCAATCCACCCTTGTATGATGATCAGACTCCTTGAGGTGGATTTCGATCATCCCACTCTTGCCGGTCTGGCCAGCGTTGCAGGCCTTAGGGAAAATCATCCTCGTTTTCACGTATGGCTCTGGTTGTGCAGCCCGGGACCCCAGCAACTGAGCGTTAGAGGCGACGTTTCCCTCAGAAACGGCTGTCATGGATGATGCGAGTTCACCCGACACCGACACCGACAGCTGACGGAGTGAGAAGACACATGATCGATGGAAAGCGGTTACGACACCGACCCACAGATACCACAGACCTCCACCTTGGGTGCGATTGCGCAGGCGAGCATGTACCAGATGCGCGTGGGGCTCCTGGAAGGGCCGGGCCGCAGTCTGGGAGGTGTCCGAGCTGTGCTCAGATGGTTTCGGTTTGCTCCAAGCAGGTGTGGTTCTGAAACGAGAAAGGCCTTCGAACTTCCTTTTCTTTTGTTGACTGATCAGATGTTCTCCCTGCCTCCAATTGGGTTCATGATTTAGAAGCTCCTTGACAGGCCCCTTTGCAGACAGCTTTCCAAGAAAGTTGATGACTGACCCCATCGACATGCCACGACATCCCACAGCACACAGCTTCCCACGTGAAGAAGCGTGACGCGTAAAAGAAATGGCTCAGATGCTCAGACAAGCCCGATTAGACACGAGCTTTCTTGGGCATTCTTCTTCATGCTGATGTTGTTGTTGCTGATGTCGTGCTTGGCTTGTCAGCTGCAAGCCAATGTCGTGTGGACAATTGGCGTGAGGTGGACGATGTTCCTTTCTTCGACCCCTTGGAAATCTGGAAGCTACAGTTCTATCGCAACGCCATCAAGGTGAGGACCTCAAAAGTGCGGCGGGCCAGGGAGCCATAACAAGACTGGTCCCTGAGAAACACCAAGCTTTGGTGCGAAGAAGGCCACAGCGTTGTAGGCTTTACTGCAAGTTGGGACCTCGTAGAAGCGAAGGCATGCACACGTACATGCGAATGCACATGTACACGTACATGTGCAGGCGTGGTGCTCTGTGAAGAAGCGTCTATTTTGTATTTATATACCGTACCAGTCAAACCCGAAAACCACTACAATAAATCTTTTTGACTATATAAAAGAAATCTTTTCTGGACAAAGTTGTCTTTCTCCGGGTTAGTCCGGGTTTTCCTTTCTTGGTCCGTCCGATGTTTCTTTTCTTGGTCCGGTTTTTCTTTCTTTCTTTTCACTGTTTTCTATTAGTAGGTGGTGTCTGACCTCTACCCAATGCATGTAACCTTGGAAGAGCATTTTAAGGTCTGGCCCTAGTTACACTAGACTACACTGGTTCGTGACATAGACATGTAAAATTGCCCCTGGTAAAGAGTGCTTGTCTAGTTTGTACCATGGCATGTTACCAGTCAGGTCTTTGCAAAAGAATCCCGATGCGACCCTGGCCCTCCTGCACGTTTTTTTTCCATTAGGCTCACTGTGGTCAAGTCCGCCACAAGCGCCATAGAGATGTCAAGTATATATCCAACATCCTGTGGATGGTTGACCTTGGTGAAACCCGTCGGCTGTATCGGGCAAGTTGCCCCACAAAGCCCTCATCCATCTGGCAGTTGTCACACATCGGCGACTCGTGCCAGGTCAACTTGTTTGCATTCAGCTGCATGTTGCGGAAGGTGTGCACAAGCATGTGGGTTCCGAATGCAAAGGGAAGCGGGGCTCACCACAATCAAGAGATTCTGGCGCCAATGCCCTGTAGCCTCTGCAAGATCACAGCCCATCAGCAGCAATGCCAGCAGCTTCTTCATCACGGAGCCAGCGCCAGCCCCATACAGTTTGCGCATGCAAGAGTTCATGCTTTTTGCCACAAGCAAGATCAAGGCAACGCGCCTGTCAAGCAGCACCGCTCTGCACGATCAGGCTGCAGCAAAAGCAACTGCACGGATACGAGTTAAAACAACAAGCGTCGCACAGCAAAGTTGTCGTTGACCTCTTCTGCCAACCTCCCTCAGGCCAATCCAGAAACGCCGTGTAGCCACAGAGGTCCTTTGTCAGTCTGCTCAAAGGTGGCTTGACTTTCTTGAGGCGGCAAAAAGCTCTCCGTGAACACGTCATGGCAGCAAAGCCATCATGCACAGATTCTTCGTTCCAAAGGCTGCGGACTACGATGAACGCTGAAGACAAGAAATACCGGCCGTGGCCGAGATGCCAATTATGCCAGACGTAAAAGGCTGCACGAACCCCATGGAGCAGAAGCCACCGCGCTGCCTTCTGTGCGGGCCCATCGCGGGTTTGTTCCACAGTCGCTGAAAGGATATTTTTTTGCCCAGCCAGGCACCAATGGCAAATCCAATGTCCACCTTCAGTATGCCCAGATTTGGGCGCACGCCTGAAATGACGATTGAGATCGGCGGCAGCTATTGAAAATTGCCAGTCTCCTTTGACAGTGCATGCCAAGCGCAGCTTGCGGCCACCTGGTAGGTCCATGCCTTTTGTAAGGGCCCGATGCAAGTCTTCCACCAGGATTTTCATGGCATCGGGGAGGACCGCGCCATCCTCTTCATAAGTCTCCTTGAGGGCAGCGAGGCAGAGGAACCTTGTGGTTTCTGGGTTTCCCAGCATGTTGAGCTTCATGCTCTCTGCTTGCACTTGCTTGCTCCGCAATACTGACTAGCTTGTGCCAGCAACCAAGATGGGCTGAAAGTTCAGCAGCATGATGGGCATCTTCTTGCCTGGTCCCCACACACAAAACACATTGAATCGCAGAAATCATAACAGTTGCCAAGAGGCTCCGCCCGTCATCGCCATGGATTTTGATTGGAACGCTGCTCGAGAGGTGCTCGGGAGGGACATGAGAGATCACGTCAGAGTCATTGGGTGTTGTTTGGCTTGGCCCAGGCTCATGTATGAAATTTTCATCGACACTTTCAACGCAGCATCTTTCAAGGCGACAACGCCATCTCTCGCCTGGGATTCGCCATCCAAGTATCAAGTCACACAATGTCACATAGGTGCCCAAGTTCGCATTTGCAAGCAAGGGGCAGAATGAGCAGCTCCAGCGCGAGCTAAACGCTGCAAGATGAGGTCCTTCCGCGCAAAGCAGTTGGCTGCATCATCATCTAAGATTGCTTGGGATGCTCTGCAACTTGCGCTGCCGGTCCCTTGGGCGCTGTACGAAGCAATACTGCTGCTCTTTTACAGAAACACGACAAGTAACAGGGCGGGTGGATCACAACCATGAGAATGGCAATAAAGAAACAGCTACGGCGGGTGGATCACCACCAACCCCAGGAGACCAGGCTCACTCCACGCCGGGGGGTTAACCACCACCCCGAAGGAGACCAGGGCAGAAGCTTCACACACACAAGCCGAACATCGCGCCACACACGGACACACACACACACACACCACCAGTCCTCTACGCTGCGGCCGAGAAGACTTCTTGGTCTCCAACTGCAGAGGGCCACGCGCAAGCTGCCAGAACAAAAGACAAGCAAGCGTTCCAGGCCTTCCGCCAGTTCTCCATGTCACCAGTACAAGCGCCCTCGAACTGATCGAAGCAAACGCGTCTTGTTGTACAGGTACTTTTTCAAGAGACCGTACAAGTACCGCTATGACCACGCTTGGTCACTGATCACTTTTGCGGAGGAGCGCTTGCAACTCAGTCTGCAAAGATTCAATTTGAGGAACAGCATGAAATTGGCCGCACATCTTCTCCATCATCGGCTTCAGGGCCGGGCAAAGACCCCCGTCGCAGGTGCTTTCCACAGCATCTGGACGGTTCTGAGCGGCAACAGCGCAGCGCCCAGACTGGAGCAAACGTGGCTGCATTTTTTGCATTCAGCATCTAAGATGGCTGCGTCAAACATGGCTGCGCTAGTGCATTCCCCCGCGAACAAGCCAGGATGACGGAAGCACGCGCGCGCTGCATTGCCCACGCTTGGACAAAAATGGCCGCGCGCACATGTCAGGATTCTTGTCCGTGTCCGGGTTTTGTTTTCTTAGTCCGAGTGTTCTTTTCTTTCCCTCGTCCTTCACAACCGCGAAAACACACATATGTGTTTTTTCTTTCGAAAATATGTGTTTTTGTTTGTTTCCTGTTTGCCTGGCACATATAGAATCATATAGACAGTACTCTCAAATGTTGAAGTCGTGGCGACATTCAATTTTTGAAGCGTTTACTTGGGGGTTTGAATCTATGGAAGTCGTGGCGATGCAAGCAAAACGCCGATCGCACAGGCAAACGAGTGGGGAGGCAGGTGGGGAAACAAGTAACGAGAGCAAGGCAGCAGTGGCAGACAAAACGCCGATCACAGCAGACAAGCGGGGAGACAAGAAGAAGGAAGGAAGAAAAGAAAGAAGGACAGGGGCGAGAGCATATACATGATGAGGTTACCTAGAGGTTTTCATTCTGAGGGCTTTCCTTGGTGGCACGGGCTCTGACCTCGTTCACCCTCTCGTTCATCCTCGTTCCGATACCTCTCTGCAACTTGTGTGACTCAAGTAAAGTGTCCAGAGCCTGGTCCAAAGAGATGTCAAGGGACCACAAGGAGATTAACATCATTGCTAAATGATTGCGTTTCCATGCCAGAAGCTTGTTGTGAATGCATGAAAATTGTGCTTCGGATGGAACTTCAGAAGACATCAAAAACCTTGCCAAATCATCGCGTTTACATGCGGGAACCCCGTTTTCGCACAACATGGCTAAATGACATTTCTAAATGATTGCGTTTACATGCAGGAACATTGTTTTTGAATACATGAGAACTATGTTGGGGAGAACGCGCCAAAAACATTCACAAATCATCGCGTTTACATGCGGAACAACGTTTTTGCAAGGACTATGCCGGTGGCGTCGCGTTTACATTGGGGAACACAAGTTTTTTCCTAGTATGCCGTGACTTCCGCGGCTGAGTGTATATATATACATATAAATCATATAGTATATGCGAAGGTCCTGCAAAAGGCCTGGAAAAATGAAAGGAATATTGAACAACCACCATATATATAATATATATACAAACACATACTTACATACATAAGTATACACGCATAAACAAGATATAGAGGTTTCCTGACCGATCGATCTGTCGGTGTCTCTGTGTTCACGTCGGCCAGGTCACCCCAGAGGAGTCGGTCCCATTGCACCACTACTATGTGCAGTGACGAACCCAGGGGTGGCGATGCAAAGACATGCCTATCAACGAACAGGTGCCAACAAACACCGAACACCTGTCGTGCCATTCATTTTTGCTCACTGCTTAAGAATGGAACATTCCTTGGGGACGGTAGGACGGATTGCACAGCATTTTTGGATCTTAATGATTCATACAGAAGATAGGCCTATGGATAGAGTAGCCTAGGGCGTCTATGATAGGCTAGGCCCCCAGAGTTCTATTGACCACCACCGAGCATTCCGCTCGACCTCCACGTTCCGGGCGCAGCTCCTCCCAGGACGTGGATGAAGTTCGACTACTTCCCACAGGGTCGAAGGACACCATGGGGTTTGCTCACGCCAAAGAATACCAAGGGCGCGCGTAATCCGGGTGGGTCTGTGTGGGGCAGCGAAATGCAGTGGCAGCAGCGGAATGTGTGAATTTGAAGACCTTCCTAAACCACAAGGCCAATCCAGCGAGGTTGTTCGGCCTCAAAAAGCCGCTCGGCATCGCTTTCAGGACGTGCAAGATCTCTTTGTGGAAGTATGAGGAAGATGTCCGGAGCCCCGAAAATATGTTTTCACCCCAGCAGCGTTAGAGCGTGTAACTTTTGGAGATTCTGGGAAACACACGATGAGTTCAAGTGTTTCTTTTTCCGCCCATGGCTTTGATGAGGAAGGTGATGTGGCGATGTTTCTCCAGGCAAAAAGTTGTTTATTTATTTTTTTCAGGAGCCCCACG